GGCACTAATCCTATTCATGAGGGCTCCAGCCTCATAAGCTAATCACCTCCCAAAGGCCTTTTAAACCTATCAAAAGTTTTAGGTAGCTGATGAATAAAGAATGAAATTGTGATTTATTGAGATTCTAAATCCACTGCAGCTGCCTGGGGTACCCTATCTTACATAAAATCAAGGTCACTGCTTGCGGGGGGAGGTGGGGGGAGCTGAGATATATCTTCTTAGACCAGTGGTTCTCAACCTTCCTAATGCTGCGACCCTTTAATACAGCTAGTCTTGTTTTGGTGACCTCCAACCATAAAATTTTTTCATTGCTACTTCATAACTGTAATTTTGCTACTGTTATGAATCATAATGTAAATATCTGATATGCAGGATGTATTTTCATTGCTACAAATTGAACATAATTAAAGCATAGTGATTAATCACAAAACAATATATAATTATATATGTGTTTTCTGATGGTCTTAGGCGGCCCTGTGAAAGGGTCTGTCGACCCCCAAAGCAGTCACGGCCCACAGGTTGAGAACCGCTGTCTTAGACAGACTTTTATACCCTGTGACTATGACAGTTTATCTCTTCTTTTACACAAATATTCCCCCCCCATAATATGGAAGCTGTTATATGTGTGCTATGTAGATATGAAAGTAATTGAGGTGATAATGCCTACAATACTAATTCATTTTTAGTGAGGTGTGTCTCTCCTTTATTGACTAAAACACCTTTTAAGAGTCCTAGTCACAGACTTATTTAAAAACCAACTTCCCATTACATACACATGTATATGCACATACATTTTTTAAGTTATTGAATCATTAATGGTATTGGTCTGTCTGGTGACATTGGACATAGTGACCATATTATGTTTTTCAACCCATGAATATGGGATATTTCCATTTACAGGACTCATAGTTCTTTCCTCTGTTGTTTTTTTTTCAATAGCGTTTTATAGTTTATATACACAGAATTATATAACTTTTATTAGATTTCATTTTAGGAATTTCAGTTTCTGAGCATATAACATGAATTGTAAATTTCCTTTCCAATTTTTTTTGTTTGTTTAGAAGAAATTCACTGATCTCATTTCTTCCTAACTTCATTAATTATAGATTTCAGGAAAATTTCTAATTATGCAATCATGCTGAGCTAATAATATAAATTATTATAGCTTTCTTTCCTCTTAGAGTTATTTCTTTCACGTGTCTAATTGTATTGAATAGGAACCCATTATAGTGTTGAATATATGTGGTAACAGCAGAAATTCTGTTGTTTTTTAATAAATTTTTATTGATTTCAGAGAAGAAGGGAAAGGGAGATAGAAACATCGGTGATGAGAGGCAATCTTTGGTTTTGTTGCACTTGCACACTGCCCACTGGGGATGGAGCCCACAACCCAGGCATGTGTGCTGACAGGGAATGAACCTATGACCTCTTATTTCCAGGGCCTATGCTGAATGGCTGAGCACCATCAGAAGGCTTAGTCCAATGTTTTCGAGCTTGCACATGGCAGCGGAGTAGCTATTTCCTGCTTATTGCCCCTCTCATTCTTAGCCATAGCAGGGATTCAAGCCTCTTTATACCTATTTTGTCATTGTTTTCCTGGGGACTTTTTCTGGGGAAAGATGAGGGGGAAGGATCCTCAGTTCAGTCATCTGCTTTTCATTTTCTTCTTTAGTTGTACACAGCAGATCCCTCTTCCTTATTTGAGCCCTTAGGAATTTTTTTTTTCTCTGTGCATTCATTTATCATTTCCACTAAACTATAATCTGCAGATTCTAGGGCTTTTGCCTTACCTTTGAAGATTGGGTTTGGGCTAAGGGAATTGAGAAGTTATTATGGTACATAGCAAAACTTAGTTACTATATTTATGTATTTTGATAAATATTTTTTTAAATTGATTTCAGAGAGAGGAAGGGCAGACGGAGAGAGACTAACATCAATGTTGACAGATAAATGAGTGATTGGCTGCCTCCTACAAGCCCCCTAAGGGAATCTAGCCTGAAACTCTGGCATAAGCACTGACCAAAATTCAAACCAAGTCCATCTGGTTCATTGGTAGAGACTCAACCATTCAACCACACCAGCCAGACTAGTTGCTCTATTTATTTATTTATTTTTTAAATTAAATCTTTATTGTTCAGATTATTACATTTGTTCCTCTTCTCCCACCTCCCCCATAACTCCCCTCCTCCCAGTTCCCGCCCCACCCTCCGCCCTCACTCCCCACCCACTGTCCTCATCCATAGGTGCACGATTTTTGTAAAATATATTTTATTGATTTTTTACAGAGAGGAAGGGATATGCCCTTGACCGGAATCAAACCTGGGACCCTTGAGTCCACAGGCCAACGCTCTATCCACTGAGCAAAACCGGTTAGGGATGTCTATTTATTATCTGAAGTAATAACCAATTACAGGGCCTGGGTTATAGAATGTTCAAATGCTCTGTGACAGAATGAGAAATCTAGGAAATATCAGTGCAAGTGAGTGTTGGAGAAGTTTCTGTGCAGGACAGCAGTAGGTAACAACACTACAGGAGGGCACACTGCCCACAGAATTAATTGATTTTTGCTGAAAAAAGGAAACTTCTTCTGCTATAAGCTTATGTGGGTGACTTGCAACAAGTTGATAACTGTTTGAGATAATTTTCTGAAAATTAATTAATTTTGGGATCTTGCAGGTCAATGACCCTTCCGTTGGTTTACAATCCTGTACATTGAATTAGAGGGCAGCAGCTGCGCCTCTTTCTAGAATATGTGGTCTTTGATGGCTTTTACATTTGTTTTTCCATAAATTTTAAAAGTAGAGTTACTTAGGTTTTCACTTCTTAAACTCCTCACAACATTATCTTCATAGATTTTTAAAAATAGGACTTAAATTCCCAAACATTTGATAATGTGGAAAATAATTCATATGGCATCAATAACTTCTTAACTTGTGATGGGTTTCAACAAAATACAGGTAGCATGGCACCTCTTTTAAAAATAATTTTCTACAGCGTCTATGAAATAGTGACTACAGTTAATACTGTATTGCATATTGAAAAGTTTCATGTTTCTTACCAGAAAACACATTTACATTCTGTTAAGGTGTCAGCCCCCAGGTGTTTTCTATGTGTTGTAACCCTAATTAGCTATCAAACTATAATCTGTATAATCCATTTAAGGTGTTCACTTCCTTTTGTAGATTTTAGCCAATCTCAGCAAGTGGGTGTGGCCTAAGGGGAGTCATATAAAAGGCCCATCTGATGCAGGGGACACATCACTTCTTCAGAGTAGACTGACTGAAGTTGGAGCTGCCAGTTGAGTGAAGAGAATTCCTACTGACCCTGATATCCACAGAACTCACCGAGGTGGGAGCACTCATAGTAGACTCTGGTGAGTATGGAATTTAGAATAAATATGTTTTTATTTTTTTGAGTAAATAGCTCAAAAAATGCCTACTTTATCTTATTACAAATATTTTCAATTTACCTCTCCAATTACTGGGATCTTCTCTAAGTAGAGAAGTAGATTTCCTAGTTAATTGAAATGACATCAATATTTCAAATATCTGGAATTGGAGCACTTTAATAGAGTGATATTTAGTATAATAAGTTATTTCATTATTTTTTATTTTAGTACCATATTGCCACTAGGTGTTTTTTAGGTCATAAAAGAGATTTCCCTAATTATGGAAATCATAAACCAACTAAAATGTTTCACATAATGTATGCATGTAAGAATCTTCATACACATTAACCTAAAAAAAATGTGTCAATGAGAAAAAACTCATAAAGGTCCACTTTGCTATTCCTTTAATACCTTCAGTTCCAGGCTATATTTGAAAACTTTAAAATAGATCCCAACCACTGTAAGGCTTCCCAAGAAGTGGCACTAGTCATAATGAGAGACTATCAGACATAGCGATGAACCAGTCATGCTTCCATGAACTGCATCTTAGGATTTCCTAGTGTAGAGATTCCTGTGTTTTTATTTTTTTAATATTATTTACAGAGAGAATTAAGGAGAGAGAGGGAGAGAGAGATTGAGGTATTGATGAGAAAGACAAAGGGGAATCCATTGCCTCCAGCATGCACCTTGAATGTGTATGAAACCTGAGCCATGGCTTGTGCCCTGACCAGGAATCTAACCCACGGGCATTTGGTACAGGTGATGTTGCTCCACCCAACTGGTCCACACTGGTCAGGGCTTTAGTTTTGTATTTATTTATTTATTTATTTATTTAATCCTGGGACTATATTGAAGTGTAAATACATTAGATTACAGGGGTGAGGAACCTTTTTTCTGCCAAGGGCCATTTGGATATTTATAACATCATTTGAGGGCCATAAAAAATGAAATGAAATTATTGATAATTAGGCTGCTGCAATTTGGTCAAACCTTTAAATTACCCCTATGCCTTGGGAGGGCCAGACCAAATGATTTTGGGGGCCTTATATGGACCTCAGGCAGGACGTTCCCCACCTGTGGATTAGAGGATCACTTTAAGAAATGGCTGGCACTCACCAAAAACTCAATAAATATTATTAAATGAATCTTAGATATTGTTGAGCATCTGTCTACTATGATAGCATTTATGTTTTATTTATTTTATTTTCATTTCAGAGGCAAAGGGAGAGGAAGAGAGACATAGAAACATCAATGAAGAAAGAGAATCGCTGAATTGCTGCCTCCTGCAAGCCCCACACACTGGGGATCGAGCCTGCAACGTGGCCATATACCCTGACCTGGTGGCTCAAGAACTGAGCCACGCCAGCAAAACAGCATTTATCTTTTAGGTGCATCTTTCAGACAGTTATTTTCAGAAGCAAAGCCTGGATGTTGTAGAGAGTATGAAGCGAATGCAGAAGGACAGGTACCAGCAGCTGTAGGCCCTGCTCTGAGAGAGTTCCTGTTGGACAAGACAACTTCATCTTCCCACTCCTGACTTAACGTGGGTGAAAAGAGAACAGAAATCTTAGTCCTCTGACTTTGGAAATCTTGTTTAACTTTCAAACTTGCAATGTCAAGGGTTCCAAGTCCGCCACCTCCAGCAGAAATGTGGAGTGGCCCTGCAGCTGAGAGCTGGTGCCACACTGAGATCAAGGTAGTGAAATTCTCCCACATGTGGACCATCAGTAACTTTAGCTTTTGCCCACAGGAAGTGGGTGAAGTCATTCAGAGTTCAACCTTTTCATCAGAAGCCATTGATCAACTGAAATGGTGTTTGAGAGTATACCCAAAAGGGCTAGATGAAGACACCAAAGATTACCTGTCACTTTACCTGTTTCTGGTCACTTCTCCAAAGCGCATATTTTTGGCAAAATTCAAACTCTCCATCCTGAATGACAAGGGAGAAGAAATCAAAGGTTTGGAGAGTCACCGGGCATATAGCTTTGTACAAGGCAAAGACTGGGGATTCAAGAAATTCATCCGTAGGGATGTTCTTTTGGATGGAGACAATAGTCTTCTCCCTGATGACAAGCTGACCCTCTTCTGTGAAGTGAGTGTGGTGCAAGATTCCGTCACCATTTCTGGCCAGAATACCATGAAGATGGTGAAGATCCCTGAGTGCCAGGTGGCCGATGAGCTAGGAGGACTTTGGGAAAATTCCTGGTTCACAGACTGCTGTTTTTGTGTTGCTGGCCAGGAATTCCAGGCTCACAAAGCTATCTTAGCAGCTCGTTCTCCAGTGTTTAGGGCCATGTTTGCACATGCAATGGCGGAGAGCAAAAGGAATCGGGTTGAAATAATCGACATGGACCCTGGAGTTTTTAAGGAGATGATGTGCTTCATTTACACGGGGAAGGCTCCGAACCTGGACAAAATGGCTGATGGTTTGCTGGCAGCTGCTGACAAGTATGCCCTGGAGCGTTTGAAGGTCCTGTGTGTGGAAGCCCTCGGCACACACCTCTCTGAGGAGAATGCTGCAGAAATGCTCACCTTGGCTGACCTCCACAGCGCAGATCAACTGAAAACTCAGGCAGGGGATTTCATCCACTCTCATGCTGAGGGTGTCTTGGAGACCGAAGGGTGGCAGGCAATGGTGGCATCCCATCCCCACTTGGTGGCTGAGATGTACCGCTCTCTGGCTTCAGCACAGGGCGCCTGTCTGGGACCCCCACACAAGTGCCCAAAGCAGTCCTGAGATCCTGCCTGTTGTAAGACTCCTTTGATTTTCCAGAAGCAGCAGCCACTGTTGCCGCCATTGAGCAACTGGTAGACAGCACAATCTGTGGAGTTTTCGACTGCTGTCGGGGGAAGTCTGCATCTCGACCCAAGATTTTTAGTTTTATTATTTTCCTTAAAGAAATGATATTTTCAAGTGTATCTTTACTGATTTCAGAGAGGAAGGGGTAGGGAGAGAGGGAGAAACATCAGCGATGAGAGCGAATCTTCCGTAAGCTGATTCCTGCATGCACCCTACTGGAGATCAAACCCACAACCAAGGCATCTACCCTGACCACCACTGGATCCTTGACCTCCTGGGTCATAGACTGACACACACCGACTGAGCAACACTGGCCAGGCTGAGCATATTTTCTTCCATAGATTTTAGAGGGAGCGCAAAGGCGGGAGGAAAGTCAGAGACAGACAGATTCTGAGAAAGAGAAAGAGATGCAATGCCCAGACAGATGCAGTGCAAGGGATGGAAACTGCCACCCAGATACGCAGCCTTGAGTGGAATCAAACCCCTGACCCTTCAGGTCTGAGCCAAAGCTCTAAACACTGAGACACTGACCAGGGTGAGATACGTCTTACATTGGGCCATAAACATTTAAATTTAGACAAATGCTCAAATGTCTGTCTTTAGGGATTTGCTGGTTCTGCAGATGTTGTGGTCATCTCTGCACTTCACTAGATGTGACAACCAAAACTGCTCTTGTTGTTGTAGCTCACAATAAAGTAACATCTTAAAAGACCAACTTTTGCCTCAGGACTTTTTTGCAATGTGTCCACATGATTTCTTTTTCTTTTTGCAGTGACTATCACTTTGCAGCCGGGAAGAACTAAGACTTGTCTTCCTACCTGGAGGTTCGATCAGCCTTTGTGTGGGATGTGGTCCTCAAGGTGCAAATGTCTCTCCCGGATCTGAGTGTTTTCATGACTGGGGTGCTGAGACTTTTACCTCTGGGATGCATCACTGGGAGATAAAAGTGGGAGACATTGGAATTGGGCTGCTGGAGTCTGTAGTGATGATTGGAAAGAGAGGAATAGGAGTGTCCAGAAGGGCCTCTTCTTGGCCATGCTAAAACCCACATCCACTGCAATGTCTTTGCCACCTCCTCACTTTTTTTTTCTCTCTCATTTTTATTTTTTATTATTATTAGTTAAGGTATTACAAATGTGTCCTCATCCCCCCCAGCCACCTCCTCACTTTTACTGCAATATGTGCCCTAACCTATTGGCTGAGTAGGGGCATTACTGGATTATGAAGGTGAAAGTGTGACCTTTATAAATGTAGCTCAAAGTTCCTTATATGTAAAATTTCTTCCTGCTCCTTCTCTCTATGTCTCAGGCCTAACTTTTCCTTTAGTCACTTTTGACTAGAAATAGATTAGGAATCATTCTACATGCTGGGGAACACCAGTATCTAAGAAAGGCTTTTTCCTAATACACTATCAATTAAGACAAACATATTACCATTTTTTTTGTTTTTGGTTTCCTTTTATGCCATGAAAATCCATTTACTATATTTTTAAATATGATGAAAACATTCAAAACATAGGTTTTGGTTTGTCCTTTACTCAGTTTGTTAAAATCTGCACGCATGATGCATGGCATAGGATATGTTCTCTGGATTTTGCTCTATTTCTCAACTGTCATCAGGAAGTATAATAATAGATGACAGGGGTGTCTGAAAAAGTACAATTAAATGCAAGAAGTTGGCTGATTTCATGTAGCATAATATTCTTCAGGTCCATTCATGCTGCCCCAAAGTTTCAGAAACCCCTCTTTTCAGCTGTGTAGTATTCCATTGTGTAAATGTCCCACAGCTTTTTTTTAATCCATTTTCCTATGGATGGCCACTTGGGCTGTTTCCAAATCTTAGTTATTGGGCAACAGAAATGAAGGAGAAAATAGACAAATGGAACTAGGTCAAAATAAAAAGCTTCTGCACAGCAAAAGAATCATGATCAAAATGAAAAAGGACGCCTCCATATGGGAGAAAATATTTGCCAATGTTACCATTGATACAGGGTTAATATCCAAATTATATAATGTCCTCATACAAGACGACAAAAGGAAGAGAAACAATCCAAAAATGGGCTGCAGGACCGATTACACATCTCTCCAGGAGAATGACCAAGTTGTGGTACAATCATATAGTGGAATACCCTGAGAAAAAATAATACAAACAATTGCTACACACAGAGGCATGCATAAATCTCTCCAAAATACTTTTCTTTAATTCTTTAATTTTAAATGTGTGTGTGTGTGTATGTATGTATGTATATATATATAATTTCAGAGAGGAAAGGAGAGGGAGAGAGAGATAGAAGCATCAATGATGAGAGGGAAGTATTGATTGGCTTCCTCCTACTAGTAATTCCTCTGACTGAGGATCAAACCTGCAACCTGGGTATGTGCCATGCCTGAGAATTGAACTGTGACCTGCTGGCTTATAGGTTGACACTCAACCACTAAGTCACTCTGGCTGGGCTCACCAACATACTTTTAAATGCGATGAAAGTACACACCAAAGTGTATACTATGTGATTTTATTCATATGAATTTAAAGAAATGATCATTAGAAACAGGGCATATTAATCACCAGCATATGATTACATTTTTGGGAGAGGGGGTTAGATTTGGGACAGGGTAAGCAATCCTGGGATCTAGAGGTCTGAGTATGTTACATTTGTGGTATGAAAGAGAACATTCTTTTGACAAGTTCTTCACCATTTTCCATAATATTAAGAAACCTCTGGACAGGGAAGCTATATTTTTGGGTCAGTATCATGGAACTGTATCCTTTCACTGTGTTCCCAAATATTATTTCATTTATGGTTTCCTACCTTATGGATTCCAGGGACCTCTAAGAGCATTATTTCCCCAGATTGATACATATAGACACAAAATTGCTATCAGTTAACAGCAATATCTAAGATGTGGGAAGTCAGCTCCAAAGACCTTTTAATTTGATCTAACTCTGTAAAAAACATTGTTTTCCTGATCAAATATGAAGCTTTGGTATAATTTCAAAAATATGCTCATTTTCAATGATACTCCTTTCTTTTGTTGTGTCGCCTAACATATAAGCTACAGTTTGGAATTTGCTTTCAATACAACTCTACACTATTCAAAGCTTATCACACCACACAATTAAAGTTGGTTAGTGAAATTATATTTAAATTATGCATCCAAACTGCTACACAGAAGCATGCTATGGGAGTAAAATATGTAAAGGAAAGGGAAATAAAGATATGGAGGAGAATAAAAGAATGAAGACACAGGTAGAGAAAATGGAAAGAACAGACCTGAGGTATCTTAGAGGTTTGGGGTTTGTACCTTATTCTGGGCTTTCTGTATTTAGATAACTCTAATCCTCAATAACTAAATAATAGAATGACAGATTAGCCTTTTTAAACTGAAAGATTATTTACATCCTATATGCAAATACCACCAACAACCATCATAACTCTCCAGGCACAGATAGTCCCAGCCCCCTAACATCCCTTCAGTAACCTCCAGGTGGTCTGGCCATGCTCAAGTGGGGGTGGCAGAACGCTAAGTATAGATGAGATGAGTGGCAGTTGTCAGTGCTGAAATTCTGGACCACAAATCAGGTCATAGTAAGCCAAGACCCTGACAGGTTGCTTTCTCCCTGGCTCCTCCATTCTGCAGCAACCAGGACAGGATTATGGCATTTCAGCCACAGTAGAGCTGCTGTGTGTACATGCATGTTTGTGTGTGTGGAGGTGGCATGCTTGGATAGACAAGCTGAAATCTATTCCCTCCCCAAAATCCCCACACTTACTAGGGCTTTGGTTCACTTTCTAAATGTTTTAAGAAAGCAAAAAGATAACCCATAAATAGAAAGAAAAATATTTTAAATGCATATGTATCTTAAAGGATTTGTATCCAAAGAACTCTTACAGTACAAAATAAGACCAAAAATCCAATGATCATTGTACAATTTAGAGGACTTGAGTAGTCACTTCACTAAAGACGATATATGGATGGCTACCAAGGACATTGTCTTAGCCTATTTTTACATCTATAACAAAAAGACTGTAGACTGGGTGGCTTATAAGCCACATCAATGTATTTCTCATACTTCTGGCATGGGGTCTAAACCTCCAGCAGCATGGTAGAAAAGACAACATGCTCATTGTCCCAGAGTATTGCAAGCTTTTTATACATCAAATGGGGGGGGGGAGGGAGAGGGTAGAAAAAGAGTTAATCTAAGATAAATTTACATGGCCTATAGGCAAAGGGGTGAGAGAAGGAGGAGGCCAGCTCTGGGACAGGAGCAGAATTTGAATGGAGAAAGGCGTGCTCCTGGAGACTGGCTGTGGGCAGTGGTCCGGAAAGCCCACGTGTAAATAAGCGGAGGCGCCTGGAGTTAGATGTGTCTTTCTGCTTTCTGATATAACATGTTATTGTTGTCTACTGTTTTATGCTTTAAAGGAAAATCAACAATAAAAAAGTGCTTGCCTTCTATGATGGCAAAATCTTGATTCTTAATTATTATATAAAACAACAATTAAAAAGTGCTTGCCTTGTACTATTGTAAAATCTTGGTTCCAAATTATTATATACTGGAGGCCCAATGCTGGAAATTTGTGCAAGAGTAGGCCATCCTTTCCCTGGCTGCCGGCACCGGCTTCCCTTTGACCCCGGAACCTGGGCTTCCAGGAAGGTCATCCAGAAGGACGACAGAAGGATGTCGGAAGGACATCCAGTCCAATTATCGTATTATGCTTTATTATTATAGATTAGGACCCACAAAAAGGGAAGTATTTTTAGGAAAAGTACTGGCGGGAGGTTTGAAGCAAAGCTAGGGGGAATGGAACTGCTTAAACGTGACCTATATAAACAAAAAACAACCTAAGTAGCAAGCTGGATGTACACTGTATTTTAAAAATATTTCTTAAATAACATATTTATTAGGGTCACTGGTTAATCAATTACATACGTTTCAAGTGCCCAATTTTATATAATACATCATCTGTATATAGCATTGTGTGCTCACCACCCCAAGTCAAGTATCCTGTGTTTGAAGCAGCATTTCTCTGCTGCTTTGTGATCTTTTTTCCAAATGTTTTAGTCTCCCATTGATCGAAAATTCTTCAAAGCGTCCTGCATCAAGAGTATCTGCCTTGCCGAAACCGGTTTGGCTTGGTGGACAGAGGATCAGAGCTGCGGACTAAAAGGTCCTGGGTTCGATTCCGGTCAAGGGCATCCACCTGGGTTGCAGGCACATCCCCAGTGGGAGATGTGCAGGAGGCGGCTGATCGATGTTTCTCTCTCATCGATGTTTCTAACTCTCTATCTCTCTCCCTTCCTCTCTGTAAAAAATCAATAAAATATATATATATATTTTTTTTTTAAAAA